GTTTTCTCTATATTTCCCAAGGAGTCCACAAGGAAAATTTGTTTAACAATCAATAGCTTCTTTGGCTGATGATCATTTCCTTTGTTCTGTGACGTTAATGTGTGAGTTGGGGGTGATGTTAAAAGAAGGAGTTTGATAAAAGTCTCCATTAGAGGTCAAAGGGTAAAACAAAGCTTGATAGCCAAGAGAGAGGGGGGAGTGGGGGGAGCTGTACCAGTGGGGCAGTAGTGGGGAGGACTGGAGGAGAGGCAAGTATGTTATAATGACAAAAAAGTCTGAAAGTCCAGAATTTGAATTTTCCTTGGGGTAGGGGATAGGTAATTCCCACCCTTTTACCAAGATAAGGTTTTTCATTTTCCTTTATTTTTCCAGGCAATAAATATAAGCTTGCAGATTGAGAGAGAATGTTATCAATATTGGTTTTTCAAATACTTTTAGGGAGCAGGAATAGAGGAGTGAAAGCACTTGCTTCCCATTACTGTGGCCTGGGTTCAATTCCTGGATCAGGGGCCTGTTTCTCGAAAATCCTGGAAACTTAGCGGGCCTGTAAAGCTGTTCTGTTTTCAGTCTAGAAGGGGATTTCAGAAGTTTTGTTAATAATACTAAATAATTATAATAAAACTATCAGATAAAAAAACAAACTGGACTGGGTGCCAGAACCTGCTTTACTAGTCTTTAAAGTTTGATTTTAAAACATGGCTTTGGGCCCGTTAAGTTACTGGGACTTTCAAGAAATAGGCCTCAGGCTTCACATGTAGGTTGAATTTTGCTGTGAGGGTTTTACACTGGGTCCTCCAGTTCTCCTCTCTCTACAAAAAACTAGCACTCCAAATTCTAATTCAACTTGGAAACAATGGATAGGAAGAGCCACCTAGAAGAAAATCCACGGCTAAATTTCTATTTATCTCATTATTATTATTATTATTATTATTATTATTATTATTATTATTATTATTTAAATGAAAAAGTAGGGTGTTGACAGTTTATTGGTCATTCATTTTAGGACGTCCAATTAAAACCTGGCAGCTCAGTGTTCAACGAGTGGAAAAATACCAGCATTCCTTTCTTTAAGAAGTTCTATATCTTTAACCTGACAAATCCAGAGGAGGTGATGGCTGGAAGTGCAACTCCCAGTGTGGAACAGATTGGACCATATTCTTACAGGTACCACAATTCATGCATAAAATGTCATTGAAAAAATATCATTTATGAATATTATTATTATTATTATTATTATTATTATCATTAATACTATTAACATCATTATCATTATTATTATTCAGCATGATTGAAATTGTCAAAAGTGTCAAAGCACAGATACATGTTCTTCATTCATGTTGTTAGTTTTGAAAGATGGTCAAAAAAGTTAGGTGACTGGGTTGGTGCATATTTGGCCCATTCACCCTGCAACCCCTCTTGCATCCCCCCTATATTTCAAATCATTCTTCTGCCTCTTGTGTGTGCACCAGCCTTAACAGGTGCATCCCTCTGAATGTTGGTCCATTTTACAGTAACACCAAAATCAAGATTCCATTTTCAAGTGTCCATCTGATGGGGTATACCCAGATACAACCTTCTCAATCTGCAGGCAAAACTTATGATTTGCATCTTCTCTGCAGAGAAATAAGATCAAATAAGGTGCTTGAGTGGACAGATGATGACAGCATCGTGAAATTCATGCCAAACAGGACATATATCTTTGATCCAGAGACATCTTGTGTTGGCTGTGATGACAGGAATGACACATTTGTCAATGTTAACATTCCTTTACTGGTAAGCTGCAAAGTGAAATTAATCCGTAACCAAAAACTGTAAGTCATGGAAACTGTACCAAAGTCAAGTAGAACTAACGATTAAAAAAAATATGTGAGATAAATCATATTGTACCTTTTGTTTTTTTTTATCATATATCATTATCACTTTGTAGGACATTGTGCACATTTGTTGGGCTTAAATGGGGATTTATGGTTTAGCTGGCTTGCACCCTCATACTGTATGTTTTCATATTTTTCAGATTTAATTTTATTAATGCTTTCCAAGGTATTAATAATTATAATAGTTCAGTCTATATTCTCTGGCATAGATGTGTTTGGGACCCTTCTCAAAGATCAACTGCTGACAACACTTTTTTACCTTTGAGGAAATGTAATTTATATTTAAGGAAAATCTCTGCCTTTTTCTGATTTGGAGCATTTTTTTTGTCATTTCACAGACCTTAGCTCTGTGGCTGAGAAATACCAACTATACCATGGAACAACCCCCGCTCTGTTCATATGGAATTCAAGCTGCTCTAAACAAATACAATCTCAAATTGTTTCGAAGGAAGGCTGTCTATGATATACTCTGGGGATATCAGGATGAATTTCTTGAGTTCCTTCTGAATATTTCCAGTCTATCAAAATGTCCTGCTAAGGAAGGAATTACAACGTTTATCCAATTACAGGTAAATGAACACAATGGCACTTTATAGTTAACTATCAAGTAATGCTAATTGGTTTAATTAGAATTTAAGTTTTTGCCAATAATTTGATTCGCCAAACGGTTGGACAATTTAGTTACTTTGGATTTCAAATCCATCAACCTTAATTAAGAGATGGCATATTACACAGAATAAAGATTAAAATCTGAGGGGTATAAAAAGCCAGTGCCAGAAGCAAGAACTTTTAAGGGGTCTGAGACGTGATCCCTTATGTTTTATTTTTGTCGCTTCCAAACACGGACAAACATTTGCTGCATATTGAGCTTTATGTTCCCTCAGTAGGTAATTTATCTGTCTAGGAGCTCAAAAATGCTGACTGGTCTTGCTTGAAATGTTATGGCTGATATCAGCTGATGTTCATCCACACAGCACAGGCTTTAATCATCTTTTGACTCTGCAGCAACTGATGTCACTCCCAAGTTCTAACATCTTAATTGCTCCAGCTGATCATTATTATTATTATTATTATTATTACTATTATTATTATTAGTAGTACTATTATTATTATTATTATTCTCAATGGCTACTTTTTTGTTTTAATGTGTAAATTTGGTCATATATCAGTTAGTCCCTCAGTATCCCCTCAATGAAAATTTATACTGATTTTTGGCAACTCAAATAAATGAAATCATTCATTTAGTGAGCTACAAATGATAACAAGAAAAGAACTTACTTATCCTTACAGGTGAACCGTCGAAATTTTAGATTCCTTTACGGAGATTAATTTCATTTACCTCACTCCCAACATATGTAGCTTGATAGCTCAGTTTAGAGTAGCGCTCAACTAGTGTATCAAGGGGGCATGGGTCGTTATCTCGTCAGAATTTTTGCAGGCTTCTTTAGGAGGTACAGGTTCAAAAAGGTTTTCCAGTTTTCTTTTCTGTAATTTCTTTAACCGCAGTTCAACAGGGGTGTGGAAAAAACGTGGGGTAGGCCACGGCCTTGGCCATGGTGTAGGCCATGGCCTACCCTGTGGCCTGCCCTGTGGCCTACCCTGTGGCCTACCCTATGGCCTACCGGTGGTCAGATTTTTAAAAGGATAGCATTGGTAGAAACCTTTCAACGTTTCCCTCAGCACTGTCTTACCAACGACTTTCTTCTGCTGTTTTGGTGGCCACATTCCGATCAAAATTTCTTAACCTTCTGATAGAACAAGGAAATCGAAGAACAGAAGCAGGTTAAACGCAACTTTTGGGCAGACCTCATATCAGCTCTCCTTTCAAACTAGTGCAATACTGGCCCTTTGTTTGGAAAAGCAAGTAAAGTTTGCGAAATGTTTCTGACGGTGATGCGTGCGTGTCCCGGGGTGCTTGTTGCAAATTCAATACTCTACAGCACTTAAGACGCACTTAAAAAATTGGCCTGGCACGTAATGTTTGCGTTTTCTTACCTGGATATGTTCTCCGATATAACACCGTTCATTAAATTTTTACACCAGCACGCTACTATATGTTTAATACCAACTGGCAGCCAGTATCGTGAAGCCGCATTTTGCGTATCCTCTGCGACCACGCAATATTGGCCCCTCCTCTCCCCTCCCCCTTAACCTCCGTTATGGTTGAGTGCTTGGGTGATTGCTGTAATATTTGCATTGTTTCGTTCTGGCCCTCGGTCTTTGAAAATCGAGTTAGCAACCTCTTAGTATTCCCTTTTTGGAGGCATAGAATTGTACGCCAGCGTATTCGTTCGACTCTTACTGATTTTATTTTTATGTTTTTAAAAATCTGACCACTGGTAGGTCATAGGGTAGGCCATAGGGTAGGCCATAGGGTAGGCCACAGGGTAGGCCATAGGGTAGGCCATAGGGTAGGCCACAGGGTGGGCCACAGGGTGGGCCACAGGGTGGGCCACAGGGTGGGCTACAGGGTGGGCCACAGGGTAGGCCACAGGGTGGGCCACAGGGTGGGCCATAGGGTAGGCCACAGGGTAGACCACAGCGTAGGCCATAGGGTAGGCCATAGGGTAGGCCACAGGGTAGGCCATAGGGTAGGCCATAGGGTAGGTCATAGGGTAGGCCATAGGGTAGGCCATAGGGTAGACCACAGCGTAGGCCACAGGGTAGGCCATGGCCTACACCATGGCCTACACCATGGCCTAGGCCATGGCCTACCCCACGCTTTGTCCACACCCGTTTAACTGTGGGATATTCTGAATATTGCAGTCACTCATGGGGGTAAAAGAGTTGTAACCTTTAATACACCCTAACATCAGTATGCATATTCTCCAGACTGTTCTCTACGCATTTCCTAAGGTGCTGACAAGGAGAATTTGTTTGATAATTGACAGCTTCTGTAGATGGTGATCATTTCCTTTATTCTCGTGACCTTAATGTGGGAATCAGGGGTAATATATTGTAAGGAGAAATTAGACGCTAGCCAACCTCAGGAATTAAAGGGTGAAAAAATGCTCAGCTCTTACTGCCAACTCCGTTCAGAAATGGGTACAGATAACTATGACAGTACAATCGCAGCCATACACACACACACTCGCCTTCTGTCTTTTTCTTTTTTTTCAGTACAACAACACATTTTATGGCGTCAGTGCTGTGAACACTGGAAGAACTGACATAAGCAAGCTTGAACAGTTTACTATGTGGAGAAATGAATCGTAAGTATTACCAAGAGGTTAATTATACAAGTTATGGTTTACGGTCAATTTGCCGCCACAAAAACTCGCCACCACTCAAGAGTCAAATCACCACCAGTGGCAATTCCAAAACTTAAACGTTGTGTAACTTCTCGTGTGAAACTTTAAAGCTACGATGTAGGAGTATATTGCGAAAAGGGAAAGGCACCCTGAAGTTATGAGCAGTGCCTCAATTATGGAATGTGAATGATGGAGAGTTTTGCAGTGGCGAGTTTGTTGTGGTGGCGAATTGACATTAAAGTCTCTTAGTATTACGCAGGAACAGTAAGGTACCCGAAATCGCTATGATGCCTTGATGATGATTTATTTAACTCAGCTCGGTTTTACAAGATATATAGGTTAAATTTACATAGCAACTAAACACAGTACAGCAAAGGAATAAGGAGAAAGATTTTAGCAATAGAGTAGCGAGCTTGTTAGGATCATCAAAATAGCAAAGGCTAATCTAGTGGATGACCCCTAATTATAAGATATATTTTAATTAATTATTAAGGGAAAAATTAAGGGCAATTAAAGGCTATTGTGTTAGTTTGCGTCTGATTCCAGATCACCAACTGAGGATAATGAAGCAGTATTAATTCATTTCAAGAGTTTTTTTTACCCTTGATTAAAAGAAATTGTCGGTAGTCGTGCACACTCATTTACAGGCCATTCTGTTCACTGTTGGCTTGTGAGCTATTTACAGTGGCTAAAATCCATTTAGATCTAGGGCAACTATTTTTGTGACGGCACCTAAAATGCAATGTGTTTCGCTTGCAGCCATTTATCCTGGTGGAGTGATAAATATGCGAACATGCTAAACGGAACAGGTATTTAAATAGGCGTGATTGCCTCCGGAAAGATACGTGATGAGTAGATTTTTCCTTTCATTTCGCGAAAACCTCAGGATTTCCCCACAACCTTGTACACGAGGAGAGAGATTTGAAATTTTCCCCTTTAAATACGTGACGCATTGATTTTCCTAAAATTCGTGCGTGAAATGGGATCAGGACCTCCCCTTTGCTCCCCTCTGCGATATGACAGGCCAAAACGGACACTTAATCAGCCAATAAAAATAAAGGATTTTAAGCTATTAGCCAATGAAAATCAACTCCCACACAAAATGAAGACAACTTCCTAAGTGAGCATTGGATATTTTGAACAATATTAAGACTAAAGAAAATTGAAATTTTGCTAAACATGTATCAATAAGAAACGTATATTTTTCTGATATTAAATTTTCGCATTTTTTACAGACAATGAATTGTCGCACAATTTAGGGCCGGGTAATCGTGGTCTTTCAAATCACTCGCATGATTACTCCCTGAACTGTACTTCACCCAGTTCCTATTACCATTATTAAGCCATGGTATTACGTGAATCAAATTAAAATTTCCAACGTATATAACATTTCCCTTTGTTTTGTTTTAGTTCTGTTTATCTATCTCTTTGTATACAACTTGGTTATTTTGTTTCATGCAGACGGTACTCAGTTCGCTCCAGATGTCGATAAAGAAAACAAATTTTATGTTTTCTCGCCAGAGATTTGTAGGTAAGACCTCAGTATAAGCTACTCGTGATCAAAATCTACAGGAAATCCTGTGAAAATGTTTACCGCAAATGTCTGTTTCTGTTTATTTCAGCCGTGTTTTTATAAGTTATAATTGGCTGGATCCTGAATTGAAACGTTGAGGTCCGATATATGGTCGGGTCACTGTTCTTGGGTATGTGCAAGACACCGCTATCACACTACTTCCCATAACCATAAAAGAGTTCTATCAAATTTTCAGTGTCACCCCCTCGCATTTGTTCAATATTGACCAAATGCGAGGGGGTGACCCTTTTAGCGTGGAGCCACGGAAACCACGCAACTTAAAATGATGGCAGATTTTGAAACTCCATTCCAAATTTAGGGCCCACATTTCTGGAGTTTCAGAACTCTTAGAGGGTAATTTGTGGTGTTCATTTTCTCTCTCTAGATCGGTGTATTTCAAATATGAACAGGAAGTCACATTGAAGGACATCAAGTTGTACCGCGTCACAGTACCAGATAATGTTTTCAAAAGTGGCGATGTATATCCTCCTAATAAAGGATTCTGCGTAACTCCCGGTTGCTTACCAAGCGGATTGTTGAATATTAGTCTTTGTCAGCCAATGAGTAAGTTGTTTTTCAATCATCTTTCCAAGTAATAAATTCAAGCTGTTAATGAAAGGGGCGGGTTAGTTTACGAGGTAAAGATTGCGCAATGCACAAGTGAAAAGGAGCTTTTTTAATTGGCTGGAAAGTTCAAAATAATCCTATCCAAATCTTTCCCAATAGGAATAGTACAGCAACCAGGTGGACAATTAGACATGGTTTGATGCTATTCTGGTTTAAAGATTTAATGAATGTAACC